ACGGCTACAACGTCTTGCCGTCCACCGTTCTCCGCAGCCGTTCCTCGCTGGGATGGACGTTTAGAGGCAGTGCTTACTGCCAGATGATACGAGAGGCAAACAAGGCCAAGCGGCTTGATTTCGCCAGGCGGTACCTCCACAAGGCAGAGAGCGGCTTCACTGACGTCGTGTACACAGATGAAACGTCCATTCAGCTAGAGACACACCGTCGCTTCTGCTGAAGGAAACGTGGCGAGCAGCCCAGACCCAAACCGAAGTAGGTAAATCTTACTACTGCAGTTGCATTCACATCGCGTAATGTACTCGTAGCGGGGAAGGCCTGGGAACAAGGCTATACAGTATGCTGGTACAATGCTTCATTCTCCCAATGGCAGCTAGTATAATTATAGAGTAAACAGAAACCACAAGGGCACGGGGTTCTTGACACACAATACTAACTACAGTTGCTATTTTTTCCTACACAGACCAAAACATCCAGTGAAGGTGCATGTTTGGGCTGGGATCAGCCTCAGGGGACGCACTGGAGTGTGTATCTTCGAGGGGATAATGGACGCGGAGCTGTATATTACCTTTCTACGACAGACTCTTCTACCGTTTCTCCACGAGGTTTATCCTGCAGGCCACAGGCTAATGCAGGATAACGATCCTAAGCATACCTCGCGACGGGCACAGGAGTTCTACGAAGAGGAAGGTATCAACCGGTGGCGGACCCCACCAGAGAGCCCAGATATGAATCCAGTTGAGAATCTCTGGCATGAAATGAAAGAACATCTTCGCATAGTGGTGAAGCCACGGACCAAGCAAGAGCTCACCCGCGGGATTCAGGAGTTCTGGGAGACAGTGGACGTTGCCAAGTGTACCCACTACATTCGTCACCTACGGAAGGTCTTCCCACGTGTGATTGAAGAACAAGGAGGCCCCTTCTCTTCCCCCCACCGTTCTCAACCTGCCCACTTTCTCCATCATTTCCTCCCGTTCCATCTTTCTCCCCCACTGCATCAATTTCCCCCACTCCATCTTTCTCTCCCACCACATCAATTCCTTCTCTCTTTAACATCACATCAACTTCCTCCATTCCATCTTTCTCAGACATCACATCATTCTTCCCCTGCTCACCACTGCTTTCACTAGACTCCCTCTCTCTCATCATTTCATCCTTAGTGCCTGAAGTCCAAGAGTATCCATGTATATGCGTACGTTCATTATTGCAGTCAGTCTGTGTGTGTGTGTGCATGTGTCCGTCCGTCCATCTGCGGTAACCGCGGCAACTCTGAGCGTGAAACGTGGACATATTATCAAGTAGGAGGCATGCATGGTAAAATAAGATTCTGGAGCAGAGAAGGCCGGGGAAGCTGGTGAAACGGACAGCTGCTGAGGTGAGTGTGCGTCAAATAGAGATCGCGGACGTAGATGCTTTGCGCGTGTGGAGAAGATTTGCTGGTCTGCCAGTATTGATGGTAAAGTTGAGTAGGAGCGAGATTGCCGGTGAAGTGAGAGCCAGGGAGCGAATCTGTTCAGTGAAGGAGTCACTGAGGTATAACCATTGGCTGCTGAATGTAGGCTCTAATAAACTACTATTGGAGCTCCATAATCACCAGGGGCGAGGGTTATGCACTTTCAAGTGCTTTTCATTTGCACTGTAACGTTTTTCAGACATACCGGCTGCAACTACAAAACCATCGTAATATCCCACTCCAACTTTCACCCTAGACACTTCACCAACTTGATACGAACCATCTACTCTCCGCCTCTGGACCACTTCTGGACCTTCAATTCTAACTCGTAATAATTTGTCTAACATTGTTGTGTTCATTCTATTGCGAAGTTCTGTTTTAACCCTGTTCATTGCACTGAAACTGTCAGTGGTTGATACTGGCAACACCAGTGCATATATCATGAGTTGAGCCACGAGGGGGGAAAGCTCTCTTGTGCTGTTAATCGAGAGCACTTTTTCTGCCAGCTCCTGCATAGAGTTGCATCCTTTCAGCACTGCATGCTTCTCTGCAAAAGAAATGAATTGGCTGTACTCTTTTGTACAGCATTCCTTGCTAATTCCCATCGGCCCTCCATCCGCTGAGTAGTGGTTCAGTAGTACCTCCAAGTGTTCCTTGGCTACTTCATTCTTTCCAAGAAGTCCAGAGGGATCTAAGACACTGAACGCTTCCACCACGTCACGTTTTGGAAATCGTTCCATGAGATTAGCTAAAAGGGCTGATGTACATTTACTTCATATTTCTCTGGCTCATTTGCTCGAACATTCACACATTTATTTCCTTTTGCAGGTGGATGTTCATCACAAAATTCAGTGTCAGGTGGGGTTTGATGCATTTCTTCAACCTCCACGCAGGTCTTATCTATGAGTTGAATGACTTTTGTTTTAAATTCTGTTGGTGATCCTTTTTGCAGCTTTTCTATTGTTGTAATGGTAGAAATTAAGAGGGGGTTAATAATCGTAAAATCTATGTTAGCCCTTTGAAATGCCATTGACAATCTATTTACCGCTGTAAGAACATCATTAAGAAGTAGCAGAGATGCGAAAAAGCTGTATCGTGTAGCCACCTTGTACAAGCCCAGAGCAAGGCACTAACAGAAGCTTTGTGAGAGAGCCACCTTGTATCTACCCCTTTTAGCGTTTTCAATTCGGGGAGAGACATGGCTTCCTGGATTAGCTTTAGGCCTGCTGCTCGCGCAGGGGAATAATGGGAAATTTTCCATAAGGCGAGAAGATATTCCTTCATTTTCTTCAGATACGGCACTTCATTGCTGGCTTGCCCAGTGGCCAGGGCCAGACGTGACATATGCAGTGTACTGGGATAATCTGAGCATTCAATTCACACAACCTAGCAGCAACTACTGAATGACGACCGGTCATGACGGACACACCATCACTGCCGAAGGAAGACAACAAATCGATGCTCAACCCAACCGACTGAAGGTAAGCAATGAGAGCCTGTGTACTGGTACAAGCCTTCCCATCAGGTAAGTCCACGACTTTTAAATCTTGTTTAAAGTTTCCCTTCCACAACAGTTCGACCATACAGCACTAGTTGTTTCTGGACGCTAATATCAGTGGACTCATCGACCATAATGCTAAAAACTCTGCAATTCTTCATGGCATGCAAGACAGCTTCATTGACAATAGCATCTATTATCTCCAGGAACTCTCCCACGATCTGTGGAGAGGTATATTTGGCATTGCGCCCAACTTTCAGCGCTTCAAAGTAACGGCAACCAAAGCTTTCAGCAAATGTGGATATGTAGTTGTATGAGAAATCTCGTGTTTGCATAACCAATATATGCATTTGCAGCACCCTATCACTGCCTGCATTTCCGCTGTCTCGGCATCTTTAAATTTACGAGGGATGCCACCACAAGATGCTTTTGCTGCCGCTACAACAGCCCCCCTGTGGATGGCACTGGACTCATGCTTTATTTACTTTATCTCTTCCTAGAGAAAAACAAGGGTTGATTGTCCAACTGCACTTCCTCTTCCGAGGCGATTTCCCGTGGTTTGCACACAATTTACAGCGCATACCTGTTTTTCCATCTACTTTCACACTTTCTAGCCACGTAAAATCCTTCTTCCATGCGAGATTGAATCCACTAACAGTGTGTTTGACTTTTGACCGTCGGGCTTTCTTGGTCACGGGCTCTGTCACGGGCTCGGACTCCGAGTCGTCTCCGCGAACTGCACGATTTATCCGCCGATTCTACACTCGACGGCGCAATGGAGGAGCCCTGAGCGCTGCTGGTCGAACTGAAAAAACCGTCAATAGTTCGCTGGTCGTGATGCGAAGACATCTTCCTGTTGCTACATGTGGCATTTCTGCTTGCGCAATAAGGGCTTGGGCCAGGGGGGCGGGCTGCTATAATAGGGCGGCGGGGCCGTTTTTATAAGGGGCGGGTTCAAATCTTAGGGGGGTGCCCCACCCTCTCATGTCACTTTAGCTCAAACCCTGATAGGTACTAGAATATGGGGGAAAACGGGAATCGTTGAATTACGTAGTTTGCCGTAAAACAGCTGCTACTACAACAATACTACGTGCGTGATAAGGGTCGTTTTCTCAGAGCCTATCACATATTATCAGAGTCTTACAAGTCTGTTAATATGATGCATATCACATAGGTGAGTTGCGTTCCGTTATGCACTCATAATTCGTCAAAGAAGCATGCACTCAGTTTGGTCTACTGTACGGCTTGGTCATAGATGAATACTAGAAATCAGAAACCCGAGACGCTGGAATGGAGCTGAGTGCAGCGAGGGTGCTACATAGCCCTAGTCTTCACCAAGGAATCCAGCGTTTAACACCATGGTCACGAAATCAATTTGCATCCCTGGCAGTCGGAGGAAGACCAACTTTAGGAGAAGGGGTAGTTATGAAACCACAATCTTAAACACTTCTGAATACAGTTGAGCAGTCTGGTGGAAGAATTACCTATGTCCACTAATAGGGTATATTACAGTTTACTAGCTATTCAAGGGTTGCACGCTCAACCTATTCTTGGTGATATGCTCGGAGCCTGCTAAATACGCCCCCGCAAGTTAAAGGTCAAAGGTGGCGCATTGTTTGCGCATGCGCATACGCTTGACGTTGTTGTTTCGTTTGTGTGGGAGCAAGAAGGGCACTTTGCAGGCACGAGACACGGCGCGCAGGCATGGACGCAGCCTCCAGCCCAAGTAGTGAGCCTCGCCCTGGTCCAAGCGGACTCTCCATTCACGCCACGGTGGCACTCACCATTGAATGTGCCGGGAATGGCCGTTCATCTAACGGTTCGAGCGAAACCCCTCAGCGACCCAGGAAAAGGCCACGGAGGCCAGAGGCTTGGAAGCGTACTGTGGCCAAAGCCAAGAGAGCGCGGGGGGAGGAGTACGTGTCCCCATCCACAGGAAAACGGTCGCGGCCAGGACGACTGGACCACCGTGCAGCTGTAGACAGAAATGCTTCGAGCGTTTCAGCCAAAGAGAAATGGCCGACGTCCTAGATTCCTTCTACGATCTCGAGGACAAAGAGCTACAAGATGCTCATCTTTTTGGGCTGATCCGACCCAACGCGGTCAAGAGGCGCCGTCCTCGAGCCGGCGGGAATACTTCGAGGCTAGCGACGTACACTTACACGGTAAGTCTATTGGTTAGCAGCCTGGGATGATGCCACAGTGTAACCATTGATGCTACTTGTAAAACACTGGGGCGGAAGGCTGCTGCAACGGAGGGGCATTAAATAGAACATGGCTCGTTGTGCCATCGTGAACATAGAGCTCTTTCTCTTCTCCCTCTAGGTTCGCAGTGTTGGGAAGACCGAAACAGTCTGCCAAAGGGCATTTGCATCTCTTCACGGTATCTCAATTGGTCGTGTCCGTCGAATTGCGAAGGCTTCTGCAACAGCAATCTGCGCACCAAAAGACAAACGTGGACAACACCGTACTCGTCCGTTGGTTACATCTGCTTCAACTAAGATGCAAATCGAGGCGCATATCAGATCTTTTCCTGTGATCAAGTCCCACTACAGTAAACAACGACGTAAGTATCTCTCACCATTGCTCTCAATCGCAGAGATGCACCGTCTTTACATTGACAAATATGAGCAGGGGGCTGACAAACCATCTGTTTCATATTCGTGCTACGCTAAGGTGTTCAATACCAAGTTCAATCTTGGATTTGGACAGCCTCATACAGATACATGCCCTACTTGTGAGAAATTAAAGAATGAACTTGCCTCTGCTGACGTATGCAGGCTAGCAACGATCAAGAATGAGCAGAAAGAGCATCTTCATACAGCAGAGCAGTTCTACAATAGCTTGCGATTGAATACAAGCTTGGCTAAACAAGATACTTCAGTTCAAACGCTCACGTTCGACTTTCAACAAAATCTGCCGCTTCCACATCTCCCAGTGGGGGATATGTTCTATATGCAGCAGTTATGGATGTATATCTTTGGCATCCATAGCTGCAGCGACAATCAAGTTAAAATGTATTGTTGGCCGGAAACCTTGGCGAAAAGAGGAAGTGACGAAGTTGTCTCTTGCTTACATCATTCCCTATGTATAGTCCCTGAAGGTGTTACCACCCTTTTTCTATTTTCTGACGGATGCCCCGGTCAGAACAAGAACAGTAATGTCATGCACTATCTTTACACATTAGTGCATACAGGGAAGTTTTCTAAAATCACACATGTATTCCCTGTCAGAGGGCACAGTTTCCTTCCAAATGACCGTGACTTCGGTAGAACAGAAATGAAGAAAAGAAAGCAGGAACGGATATATACATGTGAGCAGTGGATGGAGGTTATTAGAAAAGCACGGATACGAAAGCCGTTCGAAGTGGTGGCATGCAACAACACAATGTTTCTTGACTGGTCTGCCCATTTCTCTCAATTTTTTAAGAAGGTTGTTAAGGACAACACTAAAAGGCCACTACACATCTCGCGGGCACGAGTCATCGAGTATTCCAATGCACATCCTACTGAAGTATGGATTAGGTATGTGCCAGAAGGAGAATGGTACAAATTCTCGATCGTGAAACGCAATGCAACACCACACCTCCCAGAACCAGCTAATGCTAAAAAATACACAGCAGCAGTTCCACTGAAAGATAAGAAAATTAAAGATCTACGGAAGATCGTAGACAAGTATGTACCCCTGCACTACAAAGGTTACTATGCACCATTTCTAGACAGTGAATCTTCATCTGACGATGCTGACTAAATCATTTTTGTTTCATCTGTTGCCACCTTTTCCGTGTGTATTGAACATCATCATCCGTATATTGTACTGTGTATCATATGTGGTGTATACGAATGGAAACACTGTTCAAAGAATGCTGCTTTGTTCAAAGTTTCAACGGCAGAAAAAATTTAAACTTTTTCACTCTCTTGTGTTGTCCACGCTTGTCTTTTGGTGCGCAGATTGCTGTTGCAGAAGCCTTTGCAATTCGACGGACACGACCAATTGAGATACCGTGAAGAGATGCAAATGCCCTTTGGCAGACTGTTTCGGTCTTCCCAACACTGCGAACCTAGAGGGAGAAGAGAAAGAGCTCTATGTTCACGATGGCACAACGAGCCATGTTCTATTTAATGCCCCTCCGTTGCAGCAGCCTTCCGCCCCAGTGTTTTACAAGTAGCATCAATGGTTACACTGTGGCATCATCCCAGGCTGCTAACCAATAGACTTACCGTGTAAGTGTACGTCGCTAGCCTCGAAGTATTCCCGCCGGCTCGAGGACGGCGCCTCTTGACCGCGTTGGGTCGGATCAGCCCAAAAAGATGAGCATCTTGTAGCTCTTTGTCCTCGAGATCGTAGAAGGAATCTAGGACGTCGGCCATTTCTCTTTGGCTGAAACGCTCGAAGCATTTCTGTCTACAGCTGCACGGTGGTCCAGTCGTCCTGGCCGCGACCGTTTTTCCTGTGGATGGGGACACGTACTCCTCCCCCCGCGCTCTCTTGGCTTTGGCCACAGTACGCTTCCAAGCCTCTGGCCTCCGTGGCCTTTTCCTGGGTCGCTGAGGGGTTTCGCTCGAACCGTTAGATGAACGGCCATTCCCGGCACATTCAATGGTGAGTGCCACCGTGGCGTGAATGGAGAGTCCGCTTGGACCAGGGCGAGGCTCACTACTTGGGCTGGAGGCTGCGTCCATGCCTGCGCGCCGTGTCTCGTGCCTGCAAAGTGCCCTTCTTGCTCCCACACAAACGAAACAGCAACGTGCTGAAGGTCAAGCGTATGCGCATGCGCAAACAATGCG